AACTGGTTTTCCTTAGATAGAAAACTTTGAATCAATCTGACTGGATGATCTGGTGAACTGGAAAGTGACCTGAGATGACATGATGTGAATTTGCTTTACAGAAATAAACTGTTCCTGATCTGCATCGGAAATGGGATCCTACGCTACTTCTGGGAGCTAACTTTTTCGGCTTTACATTCAAACATAAAACTAGTTTTAGTTTTAATGTTTTCCTTTCGTGTTCACCTTATGGTATAATCTAAAGAAACAACTAAAGTGCAAATAAACATGGTTTAATCATATTTTGTAGACTGCTCTGATCATATCCGATGATGACATCAGAGAAGCAGTTTTACGAAGAAAATGTAAAAAGCATCAAAATTGTCTCACAAAAGTCATAAATCGTATTTTAAAGATGTGTATTAGCATTCTTTAATGAGTTTAGGATAGAAATAAGTGATTTTAGGATCATAATTACATTTTTTACGGACAACTGGACGTATATCTGTGCATGGGCGGGACGGATCGTGCTTCTGGGACGGATCGGGCAGTGATACTACAACGGCAGATCTTCCAGGATCCTTTTTTACCTTGATGTTGTTGACCTTCATGCCACAGCGGTATGTTGCTGCCAGAGAGGCGGTGAGCTGGATCTCTTTGGTCAGCTGGCGCCACTTCCCGCAGTCTGGCTTGGTGCACTGAACCTGAAGCGAACACATCAACGTTACCAACGGAAAGGTAAACTCATCTTAGAAGGGTTTGGATGAAATAAACGTTCTCCTTCTCTCACCCAAAACGGAAGCTGCTGGTCGGCCATGAACGCTTTAAGACTGGGCTCGCTTTTCCCGTTACTGGTCCACACCTTCTTCCAGGAGGCGAAGGTCTCATAACCGTCCTTGTGACTGCACAGAAAGACGCAAACCGTTTTCGCATCCTTCAGACGAGCCTCTCACTGACAGTCATCTGGCTTTACCTTCTATAGTAGTGATCAAAGCACTCGTTGCAAAAATGTTCACCACACGACAGGTGATACCAGCGAGACGTGTAGCCGTTTTTTGCACACCTAAGAGGGAAGATGAGCTGCTGTTATTGACGGTCAAAGTGATTAAAACCTGCTTTTACTTCGGCGCTTCTACCTGTCTGACGCACTCGCAAAACACACAGGGTACATGGCCGAGCATCCGGCCTTCTCACACTTCCTGTACTTCTTCTCAGCCTGCTCGTCTTCCTCCTCGGCTTCTGTCGCTTTCCTTTTGCTCTGGGATGAAGGGCAGAGATTCAAAGACAACAAAGATTTATGATGATGATGGTTAAAGCAGGAGTTTACCTTTCTGAGAAGAATCAGTAGCAATGAGACTTATTAGCTGTTTGAAAAATACGACGGAGTATCAGGGGCAGGCGAGTGATTTGTTTGGATTATTATAATTTATTTTGAGAATAAAGTCCTAACATTACGAGAATAAAGTTTTTATATTATGAGAACAAATTCTTCATTGAACAACCGGTTTCAGAAATAAAGCTTCTAGCTCCGCCCAGCAGATGACATCCAACCAGCTCCACCAATCAGCAACCAGAGTCCACTTTGACATCCTGCCCAGTTTGATGCTGCTGCTAAAAGATTTCCTGATTTGTCGAGAAGGACTTCGCTGCAGCAAACAGAAAGGGGCGGGGACGGACCAC